GCTAGCCCTGCTAGGGAGAGTAGTTACCGCTAATTATTATTTATTTTTTTTACTCATGTTTTATGTCTTTTAATTTATTGTTATGTGAGCTGTTATGTCTTTTATTTATTTAGTTCTTCTGTACAGCACTTTGGTCAATTTGGTTGGTGTTAAAGGCTTAACGAAATAAAGAGAATGGATAACGCCAAAATCGGCAAAATATAGAGGAAAAGGCAGGAGGTAACATAGGAAACACCTTTGCATTGCTCTATAATGTTGACACTTCTAATCACAATTTAAATCTCTCATACAAAAATAGCTCCCCTAAAAATCATGGTATAGTTTGCACGCTGGACTAAATAAAAAAGAATGTGTCCCCATTAGTCACTTTGACACAAAAACAAGACAAATGTGGTCCAGGTTGAAAAATTCAATTAAAAAAAGTTACCTATTCAGATAACTATACCGTCCTTTTATACATATTAGAAGGCTGCCATTAAACATTAACGATGTAGTTATGTAAATGAACATTGTTTCATGTGTGGACAATGCCACAAGAACAACTCACCATGGCAACAAACCAGCGCTCCGGAGTCTCATGCAGTGTACACTTATTTCCCTGACAACATCATTAAAAGTTTCAGAGCTGCCATCTGAAGTACTCTGATCAAACTTTAGCAAGAGGAAAACAGCCATGAGACCTCAAGGTGACTTCTCATTTTGTCTAATTCTTGGTTAAATAGATGCAATGCACATTCCTGCTGTTTGATGAAAAATATTGAGAAAGAACTATTCAGATGGCTCATTAAGTTAAAACTTGTCTTTCCTTGAGCAATGACCAAAGTGCCCTTTCAGTTACATTTTTAACCCTTGTTAAATGTGCCAATATCTGTATCTGCTATCTGAGTGAACTACTCTCTGAAAAGGAAAAAGGAATGTTGAGTACTTTAAGAGTCTCATGAAAAGCTTTTCATTATGTGTTCATGAATCCTAACAGTTCCTTCATGAAACTTTAACATATGGGATTTCAATACTCCCTTCAGCAGTATTTTTTGTGTTCTTCAGTTGAATTTTGGAAGAAAGGTCACTGAGGCACAAGATTGTGACTAATATTGTTTCAGAATGACTTTTTTGACACATGATTTTAACTATTTAATTCAGTCTCTGTTACACAGACTATACACAGCCGATACTAATTGTGTGTCAGAAGACATTAAAGCAAGCCTTTTTCCAAAGTTAAACAGATATTAATGTCTTTAAAACTAAACTGTCTTCAAACTAATCACAACTTTTACCACCAAGTAATATTGCAGTGTGGCCTTGTCTCTGTGTGATTATTAAAGAGCTTTAAAGAACAATTCTCCTGTTGAGTTATACTGACTTTGGTCCCCCATCCCTTAACCGCTCAAAGTCAAAGATGTATAAGCCCATCAAACACACACACACACACACACACACACACACACACACATACACACTAAACACAAAACCACAGAAACACAAAGACATACACACTAAAACTGAACTGGCAAGCCACCAAGACACTCAATAGAGCCAATCTCTCCCTTGCACGGCAGGCTGTGAATTCCCAGTTTGCTTTGCAGCGACAACAGGGTGTATGTGTGTCTGTGTGTGTGTGTGTGTAGATAAAACACAGCAATCACTGAATGCAGGCACAAGGGCCACCAAACTAAATGCTTGGATGAAGCTGGCATGAGGACACACACACACAC